TATTTTTTTAAAAATCTGGCTCCTACTTAAACCTCCAAAAGCCTCATCCTTTGGTCAGGCTCACACCTGTAATCCCAGCACTTTGGGGGGCCAAGTTCGGTGGATCACCTGAGGTCAGGAGTTCAAGACCAGCCTGGCCAACATGGTGAAACCCTGTCTCTACTAAAAATATAAAAATTAGATAGGTGTAGTAGCGCACACCTGTAATCCCAGAGACTCAGGGGTCTGAGGCAGAGGAACTGCTTGAACCCGGGAGGCAGAGGTTTCAGTGAGCCGAGGCTGCAGTGAGCCAAGATCACGCCACTGCACTCCAGCCTGGGAGACAAAGCAAGAATGTCTCAAAAAAAAAAAGCCTCATCCCTTATTACCTCCTAACATGTACTCTATGTTTTGGCCACACTAAACTAAGTATTAATAGTAGTTCCTCAAAATGGCGTATAATTTCACCATCCACACCTCTGCATAGTCCTGGTGCCCAGAACACCCTTCTCCCTTTTTGTCCTGGCAAACACCTACTCATCTTTCCAGACTTGGCTCAGATGTCACTTCCCTCAGAAAAACCTCTATAACTTCCAGTCTCACACTAAGCTGGCTGTCCCTACTAATCCAGTGGCTAATTCTAAAGGCACTGGAATTACATACCTGTCTACCACCCCAATTCAGACTATGAATGCCTTTAGTGCTGCTCTAAGTGTACATAAAGGGACTTCCCAGAAGCCTGAAGCCTACTAGGAGAAGTCCCTAGGGAAGTCTTGAATAAACACACTGGGCCACAGAAACATTTCATCCCAACTATTCCTACCTGCTAAGCAGAGAGGTACAAAGGCACCATCTCCAAAGCAGTAGGAAGGAGGAAAGTTCAGAAAGGAGTAAGACTCCCTGAGAATATCAAAGGAAGCTTCTTAGGCCTAGCAGAATCCTTACTATTCGCAAATGTTATCACCTACAGTGGCATGGATCAATAGGAAACCTAGGACACAGCTTCTCAAAACTGAAATGTGCATATGAATCCTTTGGAAACCTAGTTTAAGATGTAGATTCTGGCCAGACGCAGTGGCTCACGCCTGTAATCCCAGCACTCTGGGATGCCAAGGCAGCAGATCACAAGGTCAAGAGATCGAGATCAACCTAGTCAACATGGTGAAACCCAATCTCTACAGAGCAAGACTGTCTCCCCCACTCAAAAAAAAGAAAAAAACAAATCAAACATGTACAAAGCATTAAATAATATACATTTTGCTGGGTGTAATAATGGTACTGTGTTATATATTTTTTAATGTCTATATTAATAACTTTTAATCTGAGAATAGAGTTCCCTTTTTCTTTATTAATTTATTTAAAGAAACTAGGTAATTGATCTTATACAAGTGCCCAAGTGTCATTTTAACATATTCCTTTACCCCTCATATTTTCTGTGAACTGGTCAGTAGAAGCTTGGATAGATCCAGATTCAATTTCTTTAGCAAGAACATTCCATAGGTGGTGGTTTATACTTCTTACTGGATTACATTAGGAGGCACGTTATCTGCTCCTCCTACATTTTTAGTCAGTTAAGATACACACTTAAGGACTTACATATAAAACAATATGTCTGAGATTTGGTATAAAATAGCACAGCAAAATAACAACAAAAAGGTATGGAGAGATAGATGAAACAAGAATGGCAGCATGTTAAGGCTAGTTGAAGACTGCTGGTAGGTATGTGGCAGTTTAACTATTTCTAAAATATTATTTTTTAAAAAATCTGACTCCTACCTAAACCTCCAAAAGCCTCATCCTTTGGTCAGGCTCACACCTGTAATCCCAGCACTTTGGGGGGCCAAGTTCGGTGGATCACCTGAGGTCAGGAGTTCAAGACCAGCCTGGCCAACATGGTGAAACCCTGTCTCTACTAAAAATATAAAAATTAGATAGGTGTAGTAGCGCACACCTGTAATCCCAGAGACTCAGGGGTCTGAGGCAGAGGAACTGCTTGAACCCGGGAGGCAGAGGTTTCAGTGAGCCGAGGCTGCAGTGAGCCAAGATCACGCCACTGCACTCCAGCCTGGGAGACAAAGCAAGAATGTCTCAAAAAAAAAAAGCCTCATCCCTTATTACCTCCTAACATGTACTCTATGTTTTGGCCACACTAAACTAAGTATTAATAGTAGTTCCTCAAAATGGCGTATAATTTCACCATCCACACCTCTGCATAGTCCTGGTGCCCAGAACACGCTTCTCCCTTTTTGTCCTGGCAAACACCTACTCATCTTTCCAGACTTGGCTCAGATGTCACTTCCCTCAGAAAAACCTCTATAACTTCCAGTCTCACACTAAGCTGGCTGTCCCTACTAATCCAGTGGCTAATTCTAAAGGCACTGGAATTACATACCTGTCTACCACCCCAATTCAGACTATGAATGCCTTTAGTGCTGCTCTAAGTGTACATAAAGGGACTTCCCAGAAGCCTGAAGCCTACTAGGAGAAGTCCCTAGGGAAGTCTTGAATAAACACACTGGGCCACAGAAACATTTCATCCCAACTATTCCTACCTGCTAAGCAGAGAGGTACAAAGGCACCATCTCCAAAGCAGTAGGAAGGAGGAAAGTTCAGAAAGGAGTAAGACTCCCTGAGAATATCAAAGGAAGCTTCTTAGGCCTAGCAGAATCCTTACTATTCGCAAATGTTATCACCTACAGTGGCATGGATCAATAGGAAACCTAGGACACAGCTTCTCAAAACTGAAATGTGCATATGAATCCTTTGGAAACCTAGTTTAAGATGTAGATTCTGGCCAGACGCAGTGGCTCACGCCTGTAATCCCAGCACTCTGGGATGCCAAGGCAGCAGATCACAAGGTCAAGAGATCGAGATCAACCTAGTCAACATGGTGAAACCCAATCTCTACTAAAACTATAAAAATTAGCCGGCCGTGGTGGCGCGCACGTGTAGTCCCAGCTACTCGGGAGGCTGAGGCAGGAGAATCGCTTGAACCCAGGTGGTGGAGGTTGTAGTGAACAGAGATCATGCCACTGCACTTGAGCCTAGCGACACAGCAAGTCTCCATCTCAAAAAAAAAATGAAGATGCTGAATGAACAGGACTGCGAGTCTGTGGTCCAGGTGCTGCTGATGCTGCAGGTCTGCAGATGACACTTTAACCAGAAGACTCTGGGGGATCTGGGAAGTGAGCCCTTTCTCAGGGAACATGCAGCATTAACTCCCGTCCTATTAACCCTCTCTTTTTAGCTTACACATTGTGTCATTAAAAAAACAAAAGCAGTCAAAAAATCAAAACTCTAAGTCTTCTGTATCCGTCGGCCTCTCTCTTCCAACATATCATGGTTCTACTGTGACAATGATGCCATCTCATTCATTTCAATATCCCAAGCCTGGGAAAGACAGGCCCTCAAAAAATGCCTGTTAAATCATATTACATCTAACAGAAGGTCCCCAACTTATAATGGTCAGACTTACGCTTTTTCAACTTTACAATGATGCAAAACCATTCCGTTTGTCACTTTCAGTACAGTATTCAATAAATCACATGAGATATTCAACATCTTATTATAAAATAGGCTTTGTGTTAGATGATTCTGCTTAACTAAAGGCCATTATAATATGTGTTCTGAGCATGTTTAAAGCAGGCGAGGCTAAGCTATGATGTTCAGTAGGTTAGGTGTAGGTATTTCTTTCTAATTCACTTGTTAAGATATTTTTGCTTATTGGTCTGTCTTTCCCATTTGATTATCAATTTCTTGAAGACCGAGACTCCTCCTTTCGTTCTGTGGCACAGTCTGGCACACAATGGGTATTCAGTAAATAACTGTTAACCTAGGGTGGATGACTGACCATATAAACTACTACATTCAGGTTCCTAGCGAAGACACTGAGAACGCATCCTGAATTTGCAATCCTTTTTTCTAAGGATTTAAAATGCTCACATGTATGACTCATGTGAGTGTTCGTGGAAGTTCAGTAATACACACTGAAAGGGTCATCAGCTCCACCTGACAAGTAAGAAAACAGCACATATTATACTTCTTCCCAGACAACCTTATCAACACAGAAAACAACAGTTAACAAACAATACCTCAGTCTTCCCACATTCATCAGGTAGATCCTGGTGTATGGCCACTTGATACTTGACATACAAAGAAAAGGACTGGCTGAAAGACGACTTGAACTCTGGGTCCTCAAAGGAGGCAGGTACTAACCTCACCTTCAGAGCAAGGAAAATACAAGCAAATGCTATTGAAACATCTCTAACTGATGATATGCTTCTGAAGGTGAGGCTAGAGTAAGATCTCCGCAAATCCACACCAAAGCTCAAACTGGAATTTGTCATGAAAAGAAACCCTAGACTGGGCGGACTGGCGCAGAGACTGAAGTGTTAACTCTGTACTAAAACTTATGAAAATCTCAAAATCATAAGAGCCAAAAATTTGTTCTTCTTTTTTTTTTCTCTATCCACTTATTGTAGTTTTCTGCATACACTAGAGTCAATATTGTTGTTAATCATGGTCATGATCACTACTTTTGCTATCTCTACTTATACTAAGTGTTTTAAGCTTTTTTCCTTTACAGATTTTTCTTGGGTCATTTAACTTACAAAATTATTAGCATATGAGTTCTTCTATTAAAATGTTCTACTATCTGCCTTTTTTAGTCCCACTCAATTGTGCAAGGGTAGCACATTAATAAATAATAATTTAGCTGGGATCAATTCTTTCTACATAGGTCTTTCAAATACGGATAAAGAATTAAAATCATTTTAGGCAAAGTATGTATCTACCATAAAAATATAAAGTTTCCTGCATTTTCCTCATAGGTATTTTAATTTAGAGCTCTATAACTATCTTTTAGATAAATGCATCTAAAATAGTGATTTTAAATAATTTTACATATTACTTTCCACTCTGAAATTATACATAGCTGGTACTTAACATGGCACTAGGTAAAATTTGCACTTTCAGAATGTCCATTAATTCAGTCTTAGGTATTTGCAGATATGCTGCAAATTGAACACAAATAAAATGTAGCACAAATAAACCAAGATTTCATTAAATGATATTAAGTGGAAGGAAAGCTCTGTTTGCACAGGAAAATTACACTTGGCCTGCTGACCTGGCTCTCGGTTGGCGTATCAGGTGAGTTCTTGTGAATAACCATCTGGTAACGTTTATAGACCTGGTAAGACTCCAGAAGTGTGGCTTTGAACTGCGAACTTGGTGGAGATGATCTCACCACCCTCACCTTCAGAAGCAGTTAAAAAAACAAGTTCACTAATTCATTCATTTATTCATTCAGTAGAATATGCAGTAACAGTAACTCCCATCCAAGAAACCAAGTTTTAAGAATCATTAAAGCAACTAAATATTTTCATATTAAAAACCAACCAGTTAGTAAATAAAGAAAAAAGTTATTTTTGTAACTTACAGACTCATTAAGAAGACAGAGGAGGATGCCCTCCAAACTCTAAGCCTCAGCTTTCATGACTGAATTATGTGAGCCTGCCTCTATTGTAAACTGGCAGAGTATTTCCAGCACTCGTACACATGGCACACACATAAATAAATAACCTCTAGTTGTGCACAACTACCAGTAACTCTAAGAAAGACTAAAAATATGAATACATTTTTTGGACACTCATTCATCATTGCTAACCCTCAACTTAAAATTCTGCTGTTTAAGCTTAAAAGACCTCATAAAGTTTTCCTACTTCATAGCATAGTTAACAACCATGACTCTGAAGTCACATTTCCTTCATTCAAATCTTACAATGTCACCATGTTGCTCAAGTAACCTTGTAAAATAAGGATAAGTTTAAAACAGTAATTGCATGCAGTAATGGCTAACATTTACTTTAACATTATTTACTAGCCACTTAAAATGTATTAGCAAAACAGAACAGTAAAACAGTCAAATGCAATGCAACGAAAACAACTGGAAACTTGACATGTGTGCCGTGAGGGGTAATTCTGTGAAGAAACAGCGACACCCAGTGGTAAAAGATCTCTATACATCCTGAGTATCATTACATTCAAAAAGTAAAAGTAACCACTGGACAACTGTTATGTTAAGCATGCTTGGCCCCCTGAATACATTACTATTTATGATCAAAAGATAAAAGACACCTTGTAAAATATTTTAAGTAGTGTATTCAACTCTGTTTACAATTTTGGAAGGAAAAAAAATCTGTATCCAAATCAGAGTAGCCAAGGAGTTATAAAAGCTAAAATCTGGCGGGGCGAGGTAGCTCACACCTGTAATCCCAGCACTTCGGGAGGCAGAGGTGGGCAGATCACCTGAAGTCAGGAGATCGTGACCAGCCTGGCCGACATGATGAAACCCTGTCTCTACTAAAAATACCAAAAATTAGCCGGGCGTAGTGGTGGGTACCTGTAATCCCAGCTACTCAGAAGGCTGAGACAGGAGAATTGCTTGAACCCGGGAGGCGGAGGTTGCAGTGAGCTGAGATCGCGCCATTGCACTCCAGCCTAAGCAACAAGAGTGAAACTCTGCCTCAAAAAAAAAAAAGCTAAATCCTCTGATAACACATATATTGAATTAAGGCTTAGAATGCATGAAAGTTAATTTTTATTATCAGGACTTTAGTGGTATTTTTAGACGAAGTAAGCCATAAAATTCAAAGGCTGACCAGTTACTAATCACATATGAGAATAAGATAAAAATCGTTATGGCTAATGTTTTTGAGACAAACGTTTGCTCTGTCTCCCAGGCTGGAGTACAGTGGCGTGATCTCAGTTCACTACAACCTCCAGCTGCTGGGTTCAAGCAATTCTCGTGTCTCAGCCTCCCTAGGAGCTGGGATTACAGGTGCACACCACCACGCCCGGCTAATTTTTCTATTTCAGAAGAGACAGGGTTTCACTGTGTTGGCCAAGCTGATCTCAAACACCAGACCTCAAGCGATCCACTCACCTCGGCCTACCAAAGTGCTAGAATTACAGGTGTGAGCCACCACATCCAGTCCTGGTTTTTTTATATATGAGAAACTAATACTGAGAAATCTTGATCTGATCGAGAAATGTAAAAAAATTTGGAAAAAAAGGAGGAATCTGGCTCTAAAAGGATTCATATTATGCTCAAATTGGTTTGGGTACTAATGAGAGAGGATTTCAGCAGTACATTTGAGCCCTATTTAGATAATTCCTAACTGCTAGCTTATGTATATGACACCATTTGCTGTCTTTACCAAGATCAGAATATTATAATGGAGAAAATAGTGATTTGCCTTGTGTAATCCATTGTCTTTTACTATCTAAACCAAAACTGCTAAAAACACAATTTTAAAGAGTATTTCTTTCATTTTAACTATTAAATTTCAATCAAGGTAGCATGCTAAAATTGACACTGTTTTCACAAGTTTAGTGGCCAACTATCTGAAGTATTCTCAAAAAGTCTTTTTTAAAAAAGGGAGTTTCTCTCAAATAACAGTTAACTTAGTAAATTCAAATGTTACTTCTGCCCAATTCTCTTTAATTTCTTTTAAATTCTCATTCTTTACCTAGCAAAACATCAACTGGTTAGAACTTCAAATAAAAATAAACGATATGCCCAAATAAAAAAAAATCATAATAAAACAAACAACAAAAGTCCTTCAAAGTACCTCTAACTTGTGTGATGCATTCTCTGGTAAAGATTCAAAAATTAAATCTTCGAGTGATTTGGGCTGGTTGGATTTAGCCTTTGGTGGAAACAAAGATGGTGGGTGACCTTGAGCCTGGAAACCCTCAAGTTCTCCAGCTGGGTTCTGCTGCATGAGTTTTAACCTTTTCCTTTCTTTCCGGATTTCCTTTGCTTTTCGACATGGAGGCTTACTCAAATCAGCCCCTTTGCCTAAAAAGAATTTTAAAATATTAGACCAATCACATTTGGTTCTAGAAAAGTATTTTCACATGTCTCAAAGATTCTACAGAGTAAGTCCAAAGAGTTCCAATGGTTAGGCTAGCTTTGGGGTAGATGTTTCAGAGGATCCCGATACAGAGCTATAAGTGGATCTAAAATTCTACCTTAGAAGTGAGAGTTGCTAGAGAAAGTAAATAGCACAGAAACTTTCCAAGGCGGCTCTTACCGCTGAAAATCTTTTTTATCTTTTTTTTGAGACAGAGTCTTGCTCTGTCACTCAGGCTGGAGTGCAATGGCGCGATCTCGGCTCACTGCAACCTCTGCCTCGCTGGTTCAAGCGATTCTCCTGCCTCAACCTCCCGAGTAGCTGGGACTACAGGTGTGCGCCACCATGTCCAGCTAATTTTTTGTATTTTTAGAAGAGATGGGGTTTCACCATGTTGGCCAGACTGGTCTCGAACTCCTGACCTTGTGATCCACCCGCCTTGGCCTCCCTAAGTGCTGAGATTACAGGCGTGAGCCACCACGCCCAGCCTGAAAATCTTTAAAAAAAAACAAAAACACATTCATCCAATCAAATCAAAGTACCTTCTGCATTAAAAGGACACTGATATCTCTGCCCAACATTTCTGAGGGACATTTCTCTGAAAGCACTGGTAACATAAATACTTAGGAACCAGATGTAAAGGAATACTGATCCCAGCACGAACTCTGACAGGTTTTTATAAATTAAAAGAATCCTCGCACACCTGTAATTCTAGCACTTTGGGAGGCTAAGGCAGGCAGATCACCTGAGGTTGGAAGTTCGAGACCAGCCTGGTCACCGTGGTGAAACCCCATTTCTACTAAAAATACAAAAATTAGCCAAGTGTGGTAGCACACACCTGTAATCCCAGCTACTCAGGAGGCTGAGACATTAGAATTGCTTGAACCAGGGAGGCAGAGGTTGTGCTGAGCTGAAATGGCACTACTGCACTCCAGCCTGGGTGACAGAGTGAGACTCTGTCTCAAAAAACAAAAAAGGAATCCTTGCTTAGTTAAAGGTATCTGTGTCTTTATCCAAACACTGCAGGTATTTGGGTCTCATTAGTTCAGTTATAGTCAATCAGAGTTTTGTTCTAATTAAAAGACCAAATATCAAACTGACAACCCTTTAAAATAAAAAATTTTACTATTATAAACTAAATAAAAATACTTAGAAAAAAACCTGGAAAGACGACACCATGGTGACAGTCATTTTACTTTGTTTCAGAAACAGAGAATTTCCCTTTTTAGTAGTGTTATCTTTTCTCCAAATTTTGTTTTTTGTTTTTTTTTTGAGACAGAGTCTCACTCTGTCACCCAGGCCGGTGTGCAGTGGCACGATCACAGCTCACTGCAACCTCCACCTACCGGGTTCAAGCAATTCTCCTGCCTCAACCTCCTTAGTAGCTGGGACTACATGTGCGCGCCACCATGCCTGGTTAATTTTTTGTATCTTTAGTAGAGACGGAGTTTCACCATGCTGGTCAGGCTGGTCTCAAACTCCTGACCTCGTGATCCGCCCGCCTTGGCCTCCCAAAGTGCTGGGATTACAGGCGTGAGCTACTGCGCCTGGCTGAATTTTCCAACAACAAACATTACGCTAGTAATTTTTTAGAAGATATTAAAGAAATAAGCTGTTTAAGATCCCAAAACAGCCGGGTGTGGTGGCTCACACCTGTAATCCCAGCACTTTGGAAGGCCGAGGCAGGCAGATCACAAGGTCAGGAGATGGAGACCATCCTGGCTAACACAGTGAAATCCCGTCTCTACTAAATATAAAAAAAAAATTAGCCAGGCATGGTGGCGCACGCCTGTAGTCCCAGCCACTTAGGAGGCTGAGGCAGGAGAATTGCTTGAACCCAACAGGCGGAGGTTGCAGTGAGCTGAGATTGCGCCACAGCACTCCAGCCTAGGTGACAGAGCGAGACTCCGTCTCAAAAAAAAAAAAAAAAAATCCCAAAACAGGGTATTCACAAACCATATGAAAGTCAACAAAAAGAAGGTTTTTAAACCAACAAATTCAGTTTTTAGAGAGAAGAAAATCAAAACCTAGAGTAGTTAAAGGATTTGCCTGAGACCATAAGCTCACCAAATGAAAACCAATCTGATGAAAAAGTAGTGAGTTCACAAACATTTCAGACTATCTCACAACTTCATTAACGTTTTCTAACTAAAAATAAAGTTTACTTTTTTAAAAAACGACTTTGAGTAAGCCTAAGTTATATAAGTCTGAACCAGGTAACAAAAGAACATTTCTGTAACTATTACTCTACTGCCTAACAGAATTACTTTTCTTGGACCACAAACTGTGTGTTTTCTCAAATTTGCTCTGAGCACACACACTCCGAAACAAGCTGCCTGAGGTCATGGACCAGGCTCTGTCACTTCGCTAGATGACCTTGGACAAGTTTCCCTGTCTGTACAAGAAAGACAAAAACCAATCCTACCTACAGCATTCCTGTGAGGATTAAATGAGTTAATACCTGTGCAGCTCATAAAAAATCAACTACCATTCATTTAGGGCTAACTATTATTAGCTATTATTTGTATTACCAACATCTAGAATAATGTTTTACCTATATAAAATTCCATAAATAGTAATTTTCAAAACCTTCCATTTCCTATACTGAAAATTATATTCCCTACAGAAGTTATAAAATTATAAGCAAATTTAAAACTAACATGATCTAAGAAACACACATTTTCAGTATTTTTATGCAGGACTGACTACCTGTATCATCTTTACACTAACTAAGTCACCGGACTAGGTAAGCCTTCTCACGATTGTTTTGCTCTACATTTATATACTATGTTACTGCAATGGAAAGTAGGATTTCAGGCAGGATTCAGTGGCTCACGCCTGTAATCCCAACATTTGGAAGGCCGAGACGGGCGGATGACCTGAGGTCAGGGGTTTGAGACCAACCTGGCCAACACGGTGAAACCCTGTCTCTACTAAAAATACAAAAAATTAGCCGAGAGGGTTGGTGTGCACCTGTAGTCCCAGCTACTTGGGAACCTGAAGCAGGAGAACTGCTCAAACCCAGGAGGTGAAGGCTGCAGTGAACCGAGATCACACCACTGCACTCCAGCCTAGGCAACAGAGCAAGACTCTGTCTCCAAAAAAAAAGTAGGATTTCAGCATATTAGGGGATACAGATCTCCCAGTTCACTAAATTCCTTCAACAGAATGGAAATAGATCATCAGTGTAAAATCAGTACACTATACCAAACCCTGCACCCACAGAGGTTCAAAGCAACTCAAGAATTCCAGATTAGTCCCAGGTGATTTGAATAGAGTTTAGGAGACCTACATAATTTCTAATTAAGTCCAAGGGAACAGACTTGTAATATTTTTTAAATTAAAATGGAAATGCAAGCTAGCCACAATGCAAGCTAGGCTCATGTCTGTAAATTCCAGCACTTTGGAAGGCCAAGGTGAGAGGACTCCTTAAGCACAGGAGTTCCAGACCAGCCTGGGCAACATAGCAAGACCTCATCTCTACAAATCAACTTTTTTAGGCCAGGTGTGGTGGCTCACGCCCATAATCCCAACACTTTGGGAAGCTGATGCAGGCAGATCACTTGAGTCCAGGAGTTCAACACCAGCCTGAACATGGCAAAACCCCATTTCTACTAAAAACACAAAAAATTAGCCAGGTGTAGTGTCATGCACTGGTAGTCCCAAGTACTCCAGTGGCTGAGGTGAGAAAATTGCTTGAGCCCAGGAGGTCAAGGCTACAGTGAGTCCTGATCGTGTCACCACACTCCAGCCTGGGAGACAGAAAAAGACCCTGTCTCAACAACAACAAAAAATTAAAAAGGAAATGCAGGTTTGCTTTTGCAGGTTCCAAAAAAAAAAAAACAATCCAGGGTGTTGTGTTTGTTTATTTGTTTGTTTGTTTGTTTGAGATGGAGCCTCACTCTGTCGCCCAGGCTGGAGTACAGTGTTGAGATCTCAGCTCACTACAACCTCTGCCCCCCCGGTTTCAAGCAATTCTTCTGCCTTGGCCTCCTGAGGAGCTGGGACTGCAGACATGCACCTCCACCCCCAGCTAATTTTTGTATTTTTAGTGGAGATGGGGTTTCACCATGCTGGCCAGGCTGGTCTCGAACTCCTGACCTCAGGTGATCCGCCTGTCTCGGCCTCCTAAAGTGCTGGGATTATAGGTGTGAGCCACTGAACCTGGCTAAAATCCAAGGATTTTAAAATGGTCTCAGATTTTTAGTGAAAGATATCTTAAGGGGGGAAAGAAAAACCCTCAAAAACAATTTTTAATGTTTCACTAACCGTACTGCTAGAAGTAAGGTTGTTATTCTAAAACTGTGTAATATGGGAAAAAGCAAAAGGTTAATGTGTGATAGTCTAACCTAATTCTACCATCCTCAGTGTTCTCAAGAACTAGGTTTCTCAGTGTAGAAGAAACTACAAACATCAAAAAAAAAAAAAAGAATGGAAAAGATAAAAATGTATGGCCAGGCACGGTGGCTCATGCCTATAATCCCAGCACTTTGGGAACCTGAGGCAGGTGGATCACTTGAGGCCAGGAGTTCGAGACCAGCCTGAGCAACATGGCAAAACTCCATCTCTACTAAAAGTACCTAAAAGTACAAAAATTAGCCAGGTGTGGTGGTGCACACCTGTACTCCCAGCTATTCAAGAGGCTGAGGTAGGAGAATCACTCAAACCCGGGAGGCAGAGGTTGCAGTGAGCCGAGATCACGCCATTGCACTCCAGCCTGGGCAACAAAGCGAGACTCTGTGTCAAAAAAATAAAAATAAAGAAAAAGACTAAAATGCAGCCAGGCACAGTAGCTCACGTCTGTAATCCCAGCACTTTGGGAGGCCAAGGCAGGTGGATCACGAGGTCAGGAGGTCGAGATTATCTTGGCTAACACAGTGAAATCCCGTCTTTACTAAAAATACAAAAAATTAGCCGGGCGTGGTGGCAGGCGCCTGTAGTCCCAGCTACTTGGGAGGCTGAGGCAGGAGAATGGCATGAACCCAGGAGGCGGAGCTTGTGGTGAGCAAAGATGGCGCTACTGCACTCCAGCCTGGGCAACAGAGCGAGACTCCGTCTCATAAAAGATTAGAATGCTATAGTCCTGAATTTGAATTGGAAGTATCAGTATGAACTCATAACCTCATAGGTCTGTTCGCCAACAAAGCCTAGAAAACAATGACCAAGCCAGCAGCAATAATGTGCACTCCTAATCTACTGTGTGATCTCCAAATACCATTTCCCACTAAAAGGAACCACAACCTCTCGAAATGCCTGTACAAGATGATCCAGGAGCATAATATCATGCCAAATAGCAAGGAAGCTGTCAAAGACTACCAGGATTATGTCGAAAGGACTCAAAAGTCAACTTAAAGAAGCTCTCAGAGGAGCAACAGATTGCAACAGCAGTATGTTCAGATCCATGAGTTCCCAATGGTACCAAAAAGAAAACTAACTGGTCACTGTTAGATGTTATTTTGAAAAATGGTAAATAACAAGAAGGAATCAAGAATGTATCCTGCCAGCCAGGTGCAGTGGCTCACTCTTGTAATCCCAGTACTTTGCAAGGCCAAGGCAGGTGGATCACCTGAGGTCAGGAGTTCAAGACCAGCCTGGCCAGTATGGCTAAACCCCGTCTCCACTAAAAATACACAAAATTAGCTGGGCGTGGTGACACGCACCTATAATCCTAGCTACTCTGGAGGCTGAGGCAGGAGAATCGCTTGAACCCGGGAGGCGGAGGTTGCAGTGAGCCAAGACCGCACCACTGCACTCCAGCCTAGGCGACAGAGTGAGACTCTTTCAAAAACACAATGCATCCTGCCTTTGCTATGGGTTTTTATGAGAAACAAACAGATAAGGGGAAGACTCTCTTTATGGAAGCAGTCCAGCCAGCCTGGAAATGAAGAAATGAATGAATTTAAGCATGGATCATCCATGACTATTAGCACTAATGAAGAGAAGCACCCAGACATTACACGTCTCCTGAAAGACCACTCTAACACCCATGAAGTAATCTCACCCATCCTCAAAGAATTCAAACTCAAATCTGATTAAGACTTGCCCCCCTGCCCCGCCGCAAAAAAATAAACAAAAGAAAATTTAGCACAGAATCCGATCAAGGCTCTATATCTAACCATCAATTTATAAGCAGGCAGAGGAGCATGTTAAACCGCAAACGTAACCTGTCAGATACAGAAAGTGGAACAAACAACCCAAGACAGACAACCCAGCTGAGGAATGATGGAAGCGGAACCTCTAAAACAAAAGAGATCTTTACCGTAGTTTTTTTTGAGACAGGGTCTCATTCTCGTCACCCAGACTGGAGTGCAGAGGCATGATCTCAGCTCACTGCAGCCTCGACTTCCCAAGCTCAGGTGATCCTCCCACCTCAGCCTCCCAAGTACATGGGACTACAGGCATGCGCCATAACACCTGGCTAATATTTTGTATTTCTAGCACAGACAGGTTTCACCATATTGTCCAGGCTGGTCTCGAACTCCTGGGCTCAAGCAATCTACCTGCGTCGTCGGTCTCCCACAGTGCTGGGATTATAGGTGTAGGCCACCACGCCTCGCCAAGAGATTTTTTGAATGTATCAACAATCACAATACGTGGACATTATCTGGATCCTGGCAAAAATAAATGTTTAAAACTTGGAATTTTCTCAAGCCTGTAATCCCAGCACTTTGGGAGGCCGAGACGGGTGGATCACAAGGTCAGGAGATCGAGACTATCCTGGCTAACACAGTGAAACCCTGTCTCTACTAAAAAATACAAAAAACTAGCCAGGCGAGGTGGCGGGCGCCTGTAGTCCCAGCTACTCGGGAGGCTGAGGCAGGAGAATGGCGTGAACCCGGGAGGCGGAGCTTGCAGTGAGCCGAGATCCAGCCACTGCACTCCAGCCTGGGTGACAGAGCAAGACTCCGTCTCAAAAAAAAAAAAAAAACTTGGAATTTGAACACTATTCAATGCCATTAAGAAATTTTATTCAAGTATAATAATGGTATTGTGAATATGTTTTTTTAAAGTTCTTATCTTTTAGAAACGTATTCTGAAATACAGGATAGCACAATGTCTGGGATTTGCTTCCATATAATCTTGGAAGGGGGAACTAGACGAAACAAGAGTGGCTATGACATGAGTCAGTAATTGTTTCAAATGCAGGTAGAGTACATGGAAGTCGATTACACTATTCAATCTATGCTCATCTATGTTTGAATAATGAAGATTTTTAAAATTTGACAAACTATAAGTAATTTTATTAAAAAATAATAAAAGAATTGACCCTACATGCACGAGAGAAATAGCTGAAACAAACTGTCTAAATTATTCAAAATATTTCACTGGAGGCTGGGCACAGTGGCTCACGCCTGTAATCTCGGGACTTTGGGAGGCCAGGGTTGGAGGATAACTTGAGGTGAAGGGTTGGAGACCAGCTTGGGTAATATAGTGAGACCCTGTCTCTACAAAAAACTTTAAAATAGCTAGGCATGGTGACACGCTCCTGTATTCCTACCTACTCAGGAACCTAAGGCAAGAGGATCACTTGGCCCCAGGAGCTCAAGGCTGCAGTGAGCTATGACGACGCCACTTCACTCCAGTCTAGGCAGCAGAGCAAGACCCTCTCTCAAATTAAAAAATAAATATTTTATTGAACTGTTAGTATTAATTAGGATGAAATCTCAGACCAAAATCAACTTAACGAAAACCTTACGTAAAAAACTATTCTATAAAATTGCAAATGGAGAATTTTCTCTACTTTAACATGTGTAACATAGTTTAGACAAGAAAAACTAAAATAGTACTAAAAATCTTTCCCTTGGATCATTTTGCATAAATATAAGAACTAATTCAAAAACTGACACCATCTAATAAACTAATAACCATTCAACTTCACATTTTATGAAATAATTTTGGAAGAGTCATACACACATATTACACTCATTTAATACTGGATAAACTTTTGAAGGCTAATTCTTGTATAAGTAATAACATTAAAAAAAAATCTTACCTGATTAAATGCAAAGTTAAACATCAAAATGTGGACTTTTTAAAACTAAAATGTACTAAAATTACATCAAAAAATTTAATGATAAACTGAAGAATTTTATAATGTATTTTGGACATAATACCGATAATTAATGTTGTCTCACTTAATCCTAAAGTAAGAATGTTTATCATTCCTTTTCACTGAGAAAAATTTGATTCTCAACCCTGTAAGGCCCTAAAGTAGTAAAAAGAAATGGAACTCTTTGAAAATATCTGTATTTAGGGATAAGGCTATTGTTTCAGGCTTTTTAAGCACAGCAGTTTACAAAAGGCATGATTTGTCCCTCTAATTCGGGCAACAATAAATAAAGCAGGCTTCTGTTTTACAGATTGCATGACTAAATCATCCTTTTGGCTGATGGAAAGGCCCAGGGTTTAAAATGACTCAGCAAAAAGCAAAGCAGTGAATAGGACTTGTTATCAAAAATCTTTACTACCTGGCTTAGGAACTGTGTGAACTTTAACTGAATGTGATGGTTCACCAGAGCCCAACTTCTCTCCTATGGAATCTTGTGACTGAAGTAATTCATGAGGTTCTTCTTTCTTTGAATTTTTTCCTTCACTCTCTAAACTCGCTTTGACGTCATCACTGAGCGTCTTAAGATCACACTGTATATCCAATTTATTTATCAATGCAAAGTCACCAGCAACAGCATCATCCATTGTGGAGTCCATGGGCTCATCTACAAATAAGAAGAAATTAAAAATCCATCAGCTGGGTTGACACAGTTAAGGTAAAAACAGAAACACAATGCCCCTATTATCCACTGTAGCAGAATTACTATCTGTCCACCAAATCCATTCTCATCCTCCAAAATAAGAGAGGTGCACTTAAGACTAGCACAGCTGGGCATGGTGGTTCATGCCTATAATCCCAGCTCTTTGGGAGGCCAACACAGGAGGACTGCTTGAAGCCAGGACTTTAAGACCTGCCTGGGCAACATAGTGAGACACTATCTCCACAATAAATGAAAAAAAACAAACTGTGGCACCCTAGCAGGGGAATGTACTGCCAGTCCCCTGCCAATGGTGGGGGTGACCATTTACAAATGGTCACCAAGCTCCTGCCAATGGAACATAACACAACTGATACATCCAACTGTGCCTCACTAGTTTTAAAGGAAATTTGTAACCCTGAACTTCTACCCTTCCCCCAGCGGCTGGATTAGTAAAAACCGGAGCAACCTGGGAAATCACATGGTAAAGAAAAGCCCAGAATGGCTGGTGGGGAGCAGAGTTGCATGCCAACCTAGAAAACCCACACTGAACTGTTATGTGAGGAAAGAAACAGACTTGTTTGTTTGTTTTTTGAGACAGAATCTTGCTCTGTCGCCCAGGATGGAGTGCAGTTTCATCCTCCGCCTCCCGGGTTCTCGCCATTCTCCTGAATCACCCTCCCCAGTAGCTGGGACTACAGGCGCCCACCATCATGCCTGGCTATTTTTTTTTTTTTTTGAGACGGAGTCTCCCTCTGTCATCCAGGCTGGGTTGCAGGGGCGCGACCTCGGCTCACTGCAAGCTCCACCTCCCAGATTCACGCCATTCTCCTACCTCAGCATCCCGAGCAGCTGGGACCACAGGCGCCCGCCACCACGCCCCGCTAATTTTTTGCATTTTTAGTACAGATGGGGTTTCACCGTGTTAGCCAGGATGGTCTCGATCTCCTGACCTCGTGATCCACCCACCTCGGCCTCCCACAGTGCTGGGATTACAGGCGTGAGCCACCGTGCCCGGCCAAGCCCAGCTCATTCTTTGTATTGTTAGAAGAGACAGGGTTTCACCGTGTAAGCCAGGATGGTCTCAATCTCCTGACCTCGTGATCTGCCTACCTTAACCTCTCAAAGTGCTGGGACTACAGGCGTGAGCCACCGCACCCAGCTCCGAAAGAAACAGACTTTTATCTTTTTTTTAGTTATTGCATTTTGGTATATTTTTGTCATAAATTGTTTATTCCTTTACCCTAATGAGCTCATCACTCCTAAGATAAGTTCCAGGCACAGATAATTCAGAAGCCTATAACAAGTCAAATAAAGAACCAAATATAAACACTACATAAGAAAGAGAGGCGGCCAGACGTGGTGGCTCACGCCTGTAATCCCAGCACTTTGTGAGGGCAAGGTAGGCAGTTCATGAGGTCAGGAGATCAAGACCAGCCTGGCCAACACAGTGAAACCTCGTCTCTACTAAAAATACAAAAAAATTAGCCAGACGTGGTGGCAGACGCCTATGGTCCCAGCTACTTGGGAGGCGGAGACAGGAGAATGCCTTGAACCCGGGAGGTGGAGTGTTGCAGTGAGTCGAGACTGAGCCATTGCACTCCAGCCTGGGTGACAGGGCAAGACTCCGTCTCCAAAAAAAAAAAAGGCAACCACCAATTTACAAATGGACAGCATCTTCAGTGCTCATCTCCATGTCTCCATGTTCATTTTTCCAACTCAGAACTTAATTCCCTTTTATTTTTTTGGTGGAGACAGAGTCTTGCTGTCACCTAGGCTGGAGCACAATCTTGGCTCACTGCAGCCTTGACCTCCCTGATTCTTGTGCCTCAGCCTCCCGAGTAGCTGGGACTACAAGAGTGCACCACCAAGCTCGGTTTTTTGTTTCTTGTTTTTTAAGACGGAGTCTCACTCTGTCACCCACGCTGGAGTGCAGTGGCGCAATCTTGGCTCACTGCAACCTCCGCTTCCTGAGTTCTAGCGATTCTCCTGCCTCAGCCTCCCAAGTAGCTGGGACTACAGGCACCTGCTACCACACCCAGCTAATCTGTTGTATTTTTAGTAGAGACAGGGTTTCACCATCTTAGCCAGGATGGTCTCGATCTCCTGACCTCGTGATCCGCCTGCCTCGGCCTCCCAAAGTGCTGGGATTACAGGCGTGAGCCACCACGCCTGGACCCAGTAAGAAAATTTAAAGAAATAAAACCAAAACTGGGAAAAAGACTAAGAAAAAAAAGCAAATCATGTGTAACTAAAGTTAAATACATGCTATTATCTTTTAGCAAAGTCACTCACAATTCAAAACTGATCACACAGATAAGAGGATTTCAAACAGTATAATTTACTGAAGTAAAGCCTTATTCAAACAGAAAAGCTGATCTTTATTCAGCATTAAAAGGAACAGGGGAATCTTGTACAAGCTACACGTAAGCACTTGCTTCTTGAGAGACAATGGCACTTTCTATTTACTTGATAAAGATAGTATTAGGATCAAGAAAGATGAGTCATCAAAGCATTCTGGTTGATAAACTCCAAGAAATCACATCTTTAACATAATCCTCAATATTCTTTCTAAGCTAAACTCTTCTGATATATTCCCTGTACCTTGACTTGGGGGCCGATGGTAACAGTAATAGCAGTGCTAACAGTAGTTGCTGTCATCATAGTAGTACATGACTGTATTAATGACCCTTCCTCTATCTAAGATGACTGAAAGTGGGACTGTTGCAAAGACAGACAGTAAATCGTTTTTAGACCCAGCCCATCTTACCCTCACAACTTCCTCTGGGAACCTCCCCTTTAGCCAGGAATTTCAACATTTTTTTCAAAACCTTCTTGTGAGATTTTGAAGGCTGAAACTGTAAAGGTTGGCACCTAGGAAAGCAAAATAAATATTTAAAAAGTGAACTCAAACCTTGAAGAAATGAAATCAGTTCTGGATATCACCTAGTACAATGAGACCATCTCATGCCCGAGATTTCTGGTTAAAGATGGGGCTTAATGTAGCCTCTAATCCCAGCCCACATCACACTAAGACTAGAGTTAAGAGATTTTTCTTTTCTTTTGAGGTAGAGTCTCACTCTGTCACCCAGACTGGAGTACAGTCGCGGTATCTTGGCTCACTGCAACCTCCACCTCCCAGGTTCAAGTAATTCTCCTGCCTCAGCCTCCTAAGTAGCTGGGATGACAGGCGTGCGCCATCACACCTGGCTAATTTTTGTATTTTTAGTAGAGACACGGTTTCGTCATGTTGGTCAGGCTGGTCTCGAACTCCTGACCTCGTGATCCACCTGCCTCGGCCTCCCAAAGTGCTGGGATTACATGCATGAGCCACCTGGGCTCCCAGCAAGAGTTTTTTTTTTTTTCCCCAAAAAAAAGAGAAAGACATAAAACACTAGAAAAAAGAGAAGGAGAGAAGTGTTAGAAGCTTGAAAACAGATGTACAAAGCAATGCTGCTTTAACAGACCAAAGAAAGTTGAATCCTAGGTCAACAGTGGAAAAAAACAAAACAAAAAGCCAATTTTCTCTATATTACCCTTAAAAGTATAAGGGATTGGTGACACCTCATAGCTCTGGAAATATGAGTGAAAGTATGTCTAAAAATAGAAAGATCCCTTCAAAGTCTCGTTTTCGAAGCAGTTAGGACAGACACCAGATCCCCTCTCCCACCCGCAGATGACTAGACGACTCCCTACTCAACCCAGCAGAAAACTGCAAACTTTCAGGAAAGAGTAACAAAGAGCCTCTTACAGGATGGATGCAAGCCACAGCTGAAAGCAGGGGTACTACTGAAAACCGCTTAAATGAAAGTGTACACAGTACATGTTGAGATCACCAATCCAGCTCCAGAACAGCAGCAGGTTATGTAACACTTTCTCTCCAGAACATGATCAGACCTAAAAATACTAACATCAGGGATTCCCCAACAGAACAGCCCCGCCAGATCACCCACAGTACACAAGGCCGAGAAATACCCAAGACCCACAAAACACAAAACCCACCAGGGACATGGAATTTCCAATGGAACCCTGAAAAGTCCTAATCACCAGACACTCGAGGAGAGCCTCCACTGAAAAGATAGGTACCAAACAAACTGGAGAGAGTCACTTGGAGGACACAGACCATGGCAGAAAGAAGAGAACCTTTTAAAAAAATCCTTAGAAAGATCTCGTTTATTAAGCCACCAGAGCCATAAAATAACAAGGTGTTATTAAACAAACAAACAAGAGTCAGAGAACAAAAAGACCTTCAGAAGTAAAAATATGACAGGAGAAATGTAAAAATTAAGTAGAAGACCTGAAAACTTAAAGTTGAAGAAACCTCCCAGAAGATTCTGCAAAAAAAAAAGAAAAACTGAAGACAAAAGGTAAAGTCAGAGACCAGTTTAAAAGGTCCAAAAGCTAAATAAAGGCATTTAAAAAAGAAGAAAATGGAGGTGAAAAGATAGAACAAAAAATTTAAGAAAATTTCCCTGAACTAAAGGGTAAGATGGGACGAGCCCCCAGATAAGAAGGGCCCCTCCAGTTCGTCTGTGATGGATTAAAACAGACACACAGCCAAACTGACTATGAAATGTAAGAACAGAGGATAGAAAAGCTTCCAAAGAGAGGCTAGGCAACAGAGTGAGACTCCGTCTCAAAAAAAAAAAAAAAGAAAAAGAAAAAGAAAAGAAAAAAAAGCTTCGGCAGGGCACAGTGGCTCATGCCTGTAATCCCAGCACTTTGGGAGGCGGGCAGATCACAAGGTCAGGAGATGGAGACCATCTTGGCTAACACGGTGAAACTCGTCTCTACTAAAAATACAAAAAAGTAGCTGGGTGTGGTGGCGGGCGCCTATAGTCCCAGCTACTTGGGAGGCTGAGGCAGGAGAATGGCGTGAACCCAAGAGGCAGAGCTTGTAGTGAGCAGAGATCATACCACTGCACTCCAGCCTGGGCAACAGAGCGAGACTCTGTCTCAAAAAACAAAAAACAAACAACAATAACAAAAAGGAATGCTTCCAAAGAGAAAGAATACGTCTCAGATAAAGGTATGAGAATCAGAATACCACTGCACTTCTCAGCAGTGGTATCCTCCCAAACTAAAGTAAAGTTTGAGCAGTGAATCAAAGTTTGCAGACACACAAGAACTCAAAAATGTACCCCTTATGCACTTTTTCTATTAGAAGATGTGCTTCACTAAAATAAGGGAATAACTCAAGACAGAAGGGTTTCCAACTCAGGTGCTAAAAAGAATCCCCAGGCCGGGCATGGTGGCTCACGCTTGTAATCCCAGCACTTTGGGGAGGCTGAGGCGGGTGGATCACGAGGTCAGGAGATTGAGACCATCCTGGCCAACACGGTGAAACCCTGTCTCTACTAAAAATACAAAAAATTAGCCAGGCATGGTGGCATACGCCTATAGTCCCAGCTACTCGGGAGGCTAAGGCAGGCAAATCACTTGAATCTGGGAGGCAGACGGTGCAGTGAGCCGAGATCGCGCCACTGCACTCCAGCCTGGGCCACAGGGCGAGACTCCAAAAAAAAAAAAAAAAAAAAATCCCCAAGATGACAGTAAAAAGAATAGCCCAGGCCGTGCATGGTGGCTCACGCCTATAATCCCTGCACTTTGGGAGGCCGAGGTGGGTGGATCACATCAGGTCAGGAGTTCGAGACCAGCCTGGTCAACATGATGAAACCCCATCTCTACTAAAAATACAAAAATTAGCCAGGCATAGTGGTGGGCGCCTGTAATTCCAGCTACTCAGGAGGCTGCGGCAGGAGAATCACTTGAGCCCAGGAGGCGGAGGTTGCAGTGAACTGAGATTGCGCCAGTACACTCCAGCCTAGACGACAAGAGCAAAACTCGGTCTCAAAAAAAAAAGGCCCAGGCTGACTGTGATGCTTCAGGTGTAGGGGTACCCTGTTCAGATCAAGCAGGTCAGAAGGCTCCACAAGGGACTTTTCTCAAGTAGATAAAAGCACTTGGTGCGTTTAAACATACTAAGAAGAAACTTACATAACTGGGGTTTATTTTCAAGATAATCTGGTCCTAGTTATATAGACTGTGCAAACAAAAAAGATAATTAGTAACTCCAAGGAGAACAAAAACTTGTGCAGGAAAAGTAATCGTAGTACCTGCCATGACTCAGTTGTGAAGCATATTTACAGTTACAATGGATGTGAATACATCTGCCCAAAATTACACGACTTCTAAATGGAAAGCTGGGGATGGGGACAAAAAGGAGCTTGAATGTGGCAGGGAAACAGGAATAAGAGAAAACTAAATCCTTATCTTCCACAGAGAGAAGCCTGGAAATAATGGAGAAAACAAACAGAAAAACAAAAAAAAGCAAGTGTTACAATTATACAAGCATGTTGCTTAAAGACAGGGAGATGAAAAACCAAAAGGATTAGTTAAAATGTTTCAAGATGACTGCCAAGGGGGAAAAGGAAATGGGAAAGGGGGGTCTGGGGGACTGCTTTTTCTAAAACAAGCTTTATTGCAACTTGACACTTTTTGAGCATGTGTAATTCTGATAAAAATAAAAAACTTAAAAAAAAAAATCATAGCCAGAAAAGTTCATCCTCATTTATACATACATACTAGAGAGTCTCTAACTTCTGACTAACAAGAAGCTAAGCTGTTAGCTATAAGCCCCTCTCCTTTATCTAAGCTCTCACTGTAACTACTGTTATATACAAGGTAAAAATAACCAGAAGACTAAATATGGAAAATGACTCCATAAGATGATGTGGCTGGGCCTGGTGGCTCACACCTGTAAGCCCAGCACTTTGGGAGGCTGAGGCAGGCGGATCCTGAGGTCAGGAGTTCCAGATCAGCCTGGCCAATATGGTGAAACCCTGTCTCCACTAAAAATACAAAAATTAGCCAGGCGTGGTGACATACGCCTGTAGTCCCAGCTACTCGGGAGGCTGAGGCAGAAGAATCACTTGAACCTGGGAGGCAGAGGTTGCAGTGAGCAGAGATCATGCCACTGCACTCTAGCCTGGGCGACTAAGGAAGATTCTGTCTCAAAAAACAAAAAACAGAAAGAAGATGATGTATAATGAAATTACAAAGAGAAGCAATTCAGGAAACATTTGATGCCAGATAAATTGCAAAAATCACATAACTACTTGTTTCTCAATGCTAATTGAATCCCCTTTTATAAAGGCAATATACTTAGAATAGTGCTTTCCATGTAACAGGCACCAAACACAATTTAGATTCTTTTTTCTCTAACCATTCCAAATCACCCTTTTCTGATCATAGATTAAGCCAATCAACTTCAAACTTATGAATAGAATCCTGTCCATAATCCAATAAATTGCTAATTGAAGACAAATGACTTCTGCCTTAGACGATACCATCTCTTTATAACCACAAAAGCTGAAAGAGGACAGCACAAGATACTCTGTCATTCTATTCTTTGTGTAATGACATGGTGTCAGCAAACCAGACCCCATTTTTCTCATCCTCTGCCAATCCAACAGCCAGTTAGGTAAAAAAGAAGGCTCCTGGCCGAGTGTGGTGGCTCATGCCTGTAATCCCAGTGAGATGTGAAGCCAGCTGGACTTCTGGGTCGGGTGGGGACTTGAAGAACTTTTCTGTCTCACAAGAGGATTGTAAAATGCACCAGTCAGCCCGCTGTAGCTAGGATTGTAAAATGCACCAATCGACACTCTGTAGCTAGCTAGAGGATTTTGTAAAACGCACCAATCAGCGCTCTGGGCCTAGCTAGAGGTTTGAAAAATGGACCAATCAGCACTCTGTAAAATGGACCAATCAGCAGGACATGGGCAGGGACAAATAAGGAAATAAAAGCTGGCCACCCCAACCAGCAGCAGCAACCCATTCGGGTCCCCTTCCACGCTGTGGAAGCTTTGTTCTTTCGTGCTTCACAATAAATCTCACTGCTGCTCACTCTTTGAGTCTGCACCACCTTTAAGAGTTGTAACACTCACTGCAAAGGTCTGTGGCTTCATTCTTGAAGTCAGCAAGACCAAGAACCCAACAGAAGGATCCAACTCTGGACACACCAGCACTTCGGGGGGCTGAGGCAGGCAGATCACCTGAGGTCAGGAGTTTGAGACCAGCTTAGCCAACATGGCGAAACCCGTCTCTACTAAAAATAACAAAAAAATTAGCCGGGTGTGGTGGTGCACGCCTGTAATCCCAGCTAGTCTGAAGGCTGAGGCAGGAGAATCACTTGAACCTGGGAGGCAGAAGTTGCAGCGAGCTGAGATAGCGCCAGCCACTGCACTCCAGCCTGGGCAACAGAGCAAGATTCTATCTCAAAAAAAAAAAAAAAGAGAGAGAGAAGGCTCCTAATCAAGGATCAGTGAACTTTTGGGAGTCTGCGATCATCCTAAAATTAACAGGCAAAATGTGCTGGGCATAGTGGCTCACGCCTGTAATCCCAGCACTTTGAGGTGGGTAGATCACGAGTTTGAGACTAGCCTGGCCAACATGGTGAAACCCCATCTCTATTAAAAATACAAAAATTAACCAGGCCTAGTGGCGAGTACCTATAGTCCCAGCTACTCGGGTGGCTAAGGCAGGAGCACTGCTAGAACTCAGGAGGTGGACACCGCAGTGAGCTAAGATCACACCACTGCACTCCAGCCTGGGCGGCACAGGAAGACTCAGTCTCGGTGGGGAGGATATGCAAAATATTACATATTTTTGTCTACATGCCTTTGCGCAGGAGGCTGGCTCTCATCAAATTCTCAGAATGGTTTGCAACCCAAAAATAAGTTAAGAGCAACCAAGGGAGATAGCTTTGAGGACCAAACAAAAAAGTAATGGATAAAAAACTATTTGATTTTTAATTTTTCATTTCTTAAAGTAAAATTGTCTTTTAATTTTATGAGTATATATACACATTGAAATTGGAGGCAAATACATACCTCAAAATGTTAATGCACTTTTCACATTTTCTATCAAAAAAAAGGTTCAGGTGCAGTAGCTCACACCTATAATCCCAGCACTTTGCAAGGCTGAGGCAGAAGGCTCCTTTGAGCCTCGGAGTTGGAGATCAGCCTAGGAAACGTGGCGCGATCTGCCTAGGAAACATGGTGAGATCAGCCTAGGAAACACGGCAAGACCCCTTCTCTACTAAAAAAAAGAAAAAAAAATTTAATTTGCCAGGCCTGGTGGTATGTACAGTCCTAGCTACTTGGGAGGCTGAGGTGAGAGGATCACTTGAGCCTGGCAGGCAGGCTGCAGTGAGCCACCGTTGTGCTACTGCATTCCAGCCTGAGCAAGACCCTGTCTCAAAAAAGAAAAGAAAAAAGAAGAAAAAGGTGATGATGACCTTATAAACAGAGTAAGAGAGAAGATTCTTCTGTGTTAGGGTGAGGTGAGAAGATACATGGAAAATCCAAAAGATTATGAAAAAATCCAACAAAGACTCTGTAGGAAAACAGACTTTGGTTTAAGTTTCCCATTTAAGAAACTTAAACTGAACTCTAAGTGCAGGTGGCAGATTAAATTTAAGCCCTCTCCCTTCCAATTAACTGGACTCCGGGCTGGGCGCAGTGGCTCACGCCTGTAATACCAGCACTTTGGGAGGCTGAGGCGGGTGGATCATGAGGTCAGTAGTTCAAGACCAGCCTGGCCAACATAGTGAAACTCCATCTCTACTAAAAATACAAAAAATTAGCTGGGCGTGGTGGCAGGCACCTGTAATCCCAGCTACTCGGGAGGCTGAGGCAGGAGAGTCACTTGAACCCAGGAGGCAGAGGTTGGCGGCAGTACGAGACTCCGTCTCAAAAAAAAAAAAAAAAAAAAACTGAACTCTAAGTGCAGGTGGCAGATTAAATTTAAGCCCTCTCCCTTCCAATTAATTTTTTTTCAACTTTTACTTTAGATTCAGGGGGTATAGGTACAGGCTGGTGACCTGGATATATTGCATGATGCTGAGGTTTGCAATATGGATGATCCCACCACCCAGGTACTGATCGTCATACCCAAGTTGGTTTTTCAATCTTTAGCTCACGCCCTCCCTCCTCCTCTAGCAGTCTCCGGCTTCTACTTTTGCCATCTTTATGTCCAAGCACCCAAGATTTAGCTCCCACTTATAAGTGAGTGAGGCGGGAAATTAAAGAAAAATAAAAGTAAAAAGAAAGATAAATAAGCTTTCCTGTATTAGGTTGACTTGTCCCAGAGGCAGCAACAGGCACAGCCCAGATCCAGGAAAAGCTTTGATAATATTATCTAATGTGCTCTGGAGATTCTCCCAGCACTCGACACAGGGAGAAGAAAAAACAAATTTTCCTTTGTTTTATGGAATGAGTTTATAAATTCCTGTTCTCTGTAACCAGTGACTTCAAGTATTCTGTTTTATCTGAGAAGTACAACAAATGTCATGAGAAGCCTGAGTAGGCCTGAACTACAGCTGCCTGGGCACCATAGTGAAGATTATGGGATAAGGCCAGGCAAACCTAGATCACGGACATCTGGGTTGCTTGGCAATGGTCATGTGTAATCCTGAGTTTGTCCTGCCTCTGTATCCCTGCTTTCACGCCACTGTAAGCTTGCTTCAAGCTAGCCCACCCCCTTTTGTGAAGTGTGTATAAAAGTCTTTGTTCCGGGCCCAGTCTTTTGGACATTGAGTCAGATGGGCCTGAGTGTACTCAATAAAGATTCTCCTATTTTAACCCCAGGTCTCTCTCATCCTCCCGAATCCCACAACATGGGAACATGAGCCTACCAAGTAATTCACAGGAGCCTGTAGTATTGCTTGAACACAAGCACTGTGTCAAGCAATATACCAGAATGTAGAAAATCCTAAGCTAAGTCCTATAATATTTAACATCCAAAAGAAATGTGAATATTTACCAACATTTTCCCAGTATTTCCTGGCATTCATTGACAAGACTGCTAAATTAAGAGGGTATTTTTTTCACATCATATTTATATCTGAACCAGTCAAAGAATATTACTAAAAACTACTGATCAGCACATAAATACAGCATCAGTATGAAGAGAAGACATAACTCATTTACTCTTCCTTTTAAAGGACATCTACCTAGAGCGGAAATAAACATTAAAAAAGCACAAGAGAATACTAAAAAATTATACACAATCTTCACATTATAAATCCTCTTTCGGCTAATTAAAATTCTTACCTTATTGTGTACTGAGGACAACATGTTTGATTCATGACAGGTTTGTACACATATTTTCCACTTCTAAAATTATAAAAATAGTTTGTTAATGTCATATATTTTTCACTTGTACCAAAACAGCCTAGCACAGGAGCATTAAATTAAGTGTAAAAAATCTAATCAATATTGTAGAAATGTATGTAGGTTTAAGTACTATTCATAAGCCAAATAATCTTCAAAGTGCATGTACCAAACTTTAGAACTCTGCCTTTTATTTCCTAAAGCTTTACTTGAGTCCCCCAAGGTCAATCATCTCAGTTACCCTCTCACCAGCATCTGCCACTCCTGCTCTGCCTTTACCTGCCACCAATCCTCAATACCACGAGGGGAATGAGAGAAATGCCCACGATGCTGTGGGACTCATGTATGTGCTGCCTGTAACAACCACATTTGGGTATTCCACATGCACCAGCACAGAGTACCCAAAACCAAGCCGGTTCTTTCCATGCATTCCAGGTCTATGTTAGTAACGGAACTGTTCATTCTGTTCTCAAGTCAGAAAGCTGGGAGTCATTTTAGACTCCTCCCTGGAATTCACCTCTATATCCTGCCAGCAAGCTTTCCCCCACTTTAAACCCTATCTTTAATTGTCCCCTCTTCTCTATCACCATTGCCACTAAGGTGACAGTCCTCATCATCGCACATCTAGATAGCGCAATAACCTCTGAACTCATCTTTCTGCCTCTCTGACCACCCCCTCAAATACCTCTCAGCCATTTGAACAATCTTTTCTAAAACAAATTCCATCACATTTCTCTTACCATAAAATCCTTCTATGACTGCCTTCTACCTTTTAAAAGTTCTGGCCAGGCATTATACGTTCATACCTATAATCCCAACACTTTGAAAAGCTAAGCTGGAAGAACACTTGCAACTAGGTGGTCGAGACCAGCATGGGCAACAAAGCAAGATCTTACAAAAAACTGAAAAATTAGCCAGGTGTTGTGATGCACACCAGTAGTCCTAGAAAGTGCAGAGGCTGAGGTAAAAGGATCACTTGAGTGTGGGAATTCGGGGTTACAGTGAGCTATGATGATGCCACTGTACTCTAGCCTGGGCAACAGAGTGAGACCTCGTCTCTAAAAAAGAAAAAAAAGTTCCTTATCATGGCATACAAAGCCCTTTAAAATCTGACCTAAGTCTACCTTTTGAATCTCATTATTAAGTTTAAGGAAAGTTGTGATGTTTCAGCTGGTGCTCCCAATCCCACGTCTTTGGCGAGTATTAGCATATTGTATTTACTATTACTTATATTTACACAAGGAACTTTACCTGAGAGTTACTTAAAAATCATCCACATAAAAATAACTACTCAAAACAGGCCATGTGCGGACTTTAAGGAAATCCTTATTCAAATAAACTAACTGTTAAAGAAGACATTTTTGAGACAATCTAGAAAATCTAATAAAAAGTAGGTAACAGGTAACATCGAAGAATTTTTATTAATTTTGTAAGGTGAGATATAGCATTGTGGATAAGTTAAAAAGAAAAAAAGACCTCTCTTAGAGACACATACTTATTGCCGATCTATTGATAGGAAAAATGTCATAATAACCTACTGATGCAATTTGCTGTTAAATTATTAAAAGGATGAGCAGGAGAATCAAACATTATTGGCAGAATGTTAATAACTGCTGAAGCTTGGTGATAGGTACCTGAGGTACATTCTAATGCACTCTCTGCTTTTATAGATATTTGACATTTTTCTAATAAAGTTTTTTAAAAGAGAAAAAAATCACTACACAAAGAATATAATAAAAATTTTCTTAAACCTCTTTCCAACAACAGGAAAGCATTTTAAAGGCATGCTGTATTTTTCAAGAACCTGAGTAACCGTAGGAAGTCTCTTTGTATCTGGAAGCTTTACCTTCGCCATCCTCGGTCTATGAGATCCTGATAATCCTGTACTGTCATGGAATGTGCCCACATGCCTGAAAAAATAAGTAGTGTGTTAATTACGGCACGGTAACATTTTTCTTTTTTAAATTCAAAGTGTGATTTTTTAAAATAGGAGTGTTTGGCTGGGCATGGTGGCTCATGCCTGTAACCCCAGGACTTTGGGAGGCCGAGGCAGGCAAATCACGAGCTCAGGAGTTCGAGACCAGCCTGGCCAACATGGTGAAACCCCGTCTCTACTAAAAATACAAAAATTTAGCTGGGTATAGTGGCAGGTGCCTGTAATCCCAGATACTCAGGAGGCTGAGGCAGGAGAATCACATGAACCTGGGAGGTGGAGATTGCAGTGAGCCGAGATCGCGCCACTGCACTCCAGCCCTGGCGACGGAGTAAGATTCCGTCTCAAAAAAAAAAAAGAAAAGAGTGTTTAGGTTAAAATTCCAAAACACTCAAATTGTCATATTGGATAAATGAAAAGTTTATACATACTTCACATCTGTTAGTTTGGCATACATACAGCACAAATAAAAAATGACATTATATATACTTTAATTCAATAAAACACATCAAAGTCATTATATTTATTTGAGAATTAGTCAATAGTCTCTACGACATCATAAATTTAGGTCCTCACTGCAATTCGACTGCATCAGACCTTCAAAGTTTAATAATATCCCCAATGATTTAACATACTGGTCTCTTCAGAAAACTTAACAGAATGTTTTGTACTTATTAGTTCTCCTGATTTATATATAGGTATATATTTACGGTACAGTCTTGAACATTAAAAATTGGAGAAAAGCATGTAACAATATTCCTTCTAAGTGTAAGAACTAAAAGTAGCTCAAATGCCAAGGAACAGGAAGATGATTACAGGGGCTATGATGTTGTTGACATGATGGAATAATTACACAACCACGGAAAAAAACGAAGTCTATGAGGAAACATTTAAAGGCATATCAGAACTAAAGTTAAGGCTTCATGAGATGGTGGCTCAAGCCTGTAACCCCAACACTTTGGAAGGCCAACGTGGAAGATCACTTGAGGTCAGGAGTTCAAGACCAGCCTGGGCAACACAGCAAGTCTCCTTTTCCACAAAAAATAAATAATGATAATAATTAATCAGGCTTTGTGGCCTGTGCCTATGCTCCCAGCTACTTGGGAGGCTGAGGTGGGAGAAGGCTTGAGGCCAGGAATTCGAGATTTGAGGCTGCAGTAAGCCATGAACGCACCACTGCACTCCAGCCTGAGCGAAGGAGCAAAACCCTGTCTCTTTAAAAAACAAACAAACAAACAAAACTAAAGTTAAAAAAGAAATGGGCCGCTTACGGTGGCTCATGTCTGTAATCCCAGCACTTTGGGAGGCCGAGGTGGGTGGATCACCTGAGGTCAGGAGATCAAGACCAAGCCTGGCCAATATGGTGAAACCCGTCTCCACTAAAAATACAAAAAAAGTAGCTGGGCGTGGTGGCAGACACCTGTAATCACAGCTACTCGGGAGGCTGAGGCAGGAGAATCCCTTTAACCTGGGAGGCAGCGGTCGCGGTGAGCCTAGATCACGCCACTGTACTCCAGGCTGGGCAACAAAAGTGAAACTCCGTCTCAAAATAAATAAATAAATACATAAATAAATAAATGGATTTTTCCCTTTTGTAAACAGTAAATCACATCAGAGATATGTAAAGATAGAGACAGGCTTGATAGAGCAGGATATAGTGGGAAAAGCATGACACTGGAGTCCAACAGAAATATCCGGAAACCTGGCAGGCACTCACTGACACTAATGAGTTACCCAATGAGCCTCAATTTCATCATCTGTAAATAAAAAAATAAAACTCACCTACCAAGTAAGTAGATGCCCCATAATAAACAGTATTAAAATTAAAATCGAGATACTAGAAATTGATTATTATTTTCTCTTGATGGAAAGGCTGCAGGCAGGTTTCTTCGACAAAATGTGAAACACAAGACATTTATGTTAGCCAATTTCCTCTTACCACAATTACTGGGAAAAAATAAGTAATGACCTATTAAAACATTAATTTTAGGCACGTTTAATGTAACTTATTGATTTTATAAATATTATAGCCAAAATACAAAAATTCTGAAAAAAGAAAGTAGAAATCCATATTACTCTAAGGCCGTATTACCACTGTCACTATTTGGTGTGCTTCCGGGCCTTCTTCCTTTCAGAACTGTAATCATGTCGCATAAGTCATTTGCATCCTGTTGATTTCCTCCGTTTAACTCCAAACTGGAAGCATTTTTCCATTTAGTCTTCATAATCCTCACTTCTAATGATTGCATAACTGTCTACACAAGACCGCTGCCCACAAGAAGCACTTAATAAACACTTTTAATGAAGGAGTAAATGCACACACCGTTATCGACCAAATTATTCCCCACTTATACCTTTTTCATGGAAAATGCCTGTGTGTTTTCATGCAAATCTCGTTTTCCACAAAGCTAGACTGTTCTACTAAAATAATAGATTGGACATTCTATATTGGCCAATGCATGGCAAGAGAGGAAATAAACACGATGTTTTGTTTACCAACAACGAATCTCCCCCCAAGAAATCTGAATCACGATGGAAAAACCAAACAAACTTGTGGGCTGGCTTTGCTGTCGTCGGGGTGGGTGGAGGAAACACACGGCACATAAGCAAATGGTAAAAATTTCAAACAGATCAGGACAATCTCTCGCCGGTAGCGACCGCGGTCACCAGTTTCTTGTCTTTTTTTTTTTTTAAACCCAGAGATGCAAGGGGCTCATCCTGTACATTCGTTCAGGGACGTCTGATTCACACAAGACCGGCACCTGTGTGCACACCCACAGCTCCTTCTGCACCGCGTCTCGTCCTCGCTCCCGGGACGCTCCCACTGCAGCACCCACCGATCCGCCCCGGCCATTAACTATGGCTCTGGGGCATTCCCTGGCACTGCGAGCCGTCCTTCACCTCACACAATCTACCCCAGACGGGTGTCCGTCTCCCGACTCTGGGGAGACCACAACGATTTCGAGGGTCTGGGCACTGGTGGGGACTTTCCTGCAGAACAGGCACCGCGAAGCTGCCCCGTTAAGCTGGCGCCGCAGCCCTCCCGAGGGTGCCCCCCTTCGTCTCGGCTGTGGCACTGGGGCCGCCCAGGGGCTCCGGCCCCCTCTCGTCCTCGCTGGGGGACCCCGGGATCCCGAGACCCGGGCGCCCGGCTTCCCACGCCCGCCGGCCCGGCTCGCTCACCATTGGAGCGGCTGCCCGACTCGTTCTTGCAGTAGCCGCAGCGGTAGAAGTCCTCGCTGGGGAAATAGTCCACGATGCTGGGCGAACCCCCAGCCCAGAAAGCCATGGCCTCGGCCCCGCGAACGCTCAGGCGCCCGGCTCAGCGTCGCAGTCGCCGCCGCCACCGCCACCCCACAATGCAGCGCGCCGCCCGGGAGCCCCCGAGGCTCACGCGAAGCCACTCGGGCGCCCGCGGGCCCGGCCGGCCCGGCGCCTCTTGGAGCTGACGCCGGCCGCGCCATCTTGACCGAGGGCAGCTTTCCATTATTTCCGTTCCTTCTCCGTAAGGGGCCGCCGTCGTCAGTGAGGGTGAGGCGGAGAGACGGAGCGGGAAGGGAAACAGGATGGGGAGCGTTGAGAGGGGAAGGGAAGCGGGAGTCGGGGCGCGAGTCCGCTCTTGCCCTCGCCGAGGGCCTGTCCGGTCGCGGCGGGCGCGCCAGGGGTTGGGCGCGAAGCGGCCGCGCTAGCTCGGGCGTCGAGAACACTCACCGCAGGACGCTTTGCCCTCCTTGGAGTCGCAGTAGCCGCAGTGGTAGCCAGCCCTGAGGCCCTTGTATTCCACCACCGACGCCATGGCCGCCGCGAGGGTCCGCTTGGGCCGACCACGCCTCTCGGCGCCCGGGTCCGACCTCCGCGAAGCGCGGGGGCCCGCGGCGGGAGGGGTGGAGAACGAGGCCTGGCGCGGGGACCCGAGGGCGGGGATCGTGGTCGTGCCCCCAAGCCCTGCGTTTGGGCCAGTGCTTCCCACAGCTATGCGTTATCAGCCCCATTTCACAGGTAAGGAAACTGAGGACAGGAGGTTGTGATTATCCCAAAGTCATTTCCAGCGGGTCCGGATTGAAAGTTACCCTCTCAGGCCGCCCCTAGCCACCATAAGGAAACTGAGGACCGGAGGTTGTGATTATCCCAAAGTGATTTCCGGCGGGTCCGGATTGAAAGTTGCCCCCTCAGGCCGCCCCTGGCCACCGTGTAGGTGATTTGCTGGAACTGCTTCCAGACCAGCTGGCACGCACTCCAGTGCCCATGAATACAAGAACACAAGCAGGTATTCCGTGAATGGCAAGGGTTCCCAAATTAAAGAACACTTAACGGCTTTTAAAGGAAACAGCTATCAAAGCTAGTTGCTGTCTGGTGCCACTAAGTCCAGTGCGACATAAAACTTTTGATAAGAGATGCTGGAAATACAGATTTTTTTTTTTTACTCTACAGGCCAAACAAAACAATTTTATAGGCTGAATCCAGCCCATGGGCCTGCATTTTGCAACCACTATTTTAAGGAAGATTTCTTAAAGAATGACAGTCTAGGGCAAAATATAAAAATGAGTTCCAGCAAGGTAATATGCCTTATCTTTCCCTCTGTGTGCACAGATAATTTAAGCCCGTCTGTCCTCATAGTTTTCCCAGTCAACAATAAAGCTGATTATGCAGTATTTTTAAAAGTGGTATGTTTTAAAAAGTGAAATCATGAAACCCAGAGAAATAGAAATAAACTTTTGAGGTGAGTTTCGACATTCTTGACCCCAAGGGCCTGTGTTGGATATGTACCTAGCTGGAGGAGGTTTCTTGGTGGCCTGGTGACTTCTTAATACTGCCAAGCATCACTTGTGCCTCCCACAATCGGATGGCACCTAAGGAGTGGCCATGTAATAGCCAGCAGTTTCTCAGGGGTTCCTCTAACTTCTTAGACTTGAAAGCTGCATGCTATGTCTCAGTATTCATGTTCTTAAGTCAAGCTTCATCCATTTTGTTCTTTATGGCAGATTTGACTATTCCCAGTCCTTTCCCAGACCAGCTCTCATTTTGAACAAAAGCAAAGCCTGTGAAATGCATCAGAAAGAGCAGAATATGCTCTGGACAGAAGGTGGACCGGGAGGCTTTTTGGTCTTAATATTCCTGTCCCACTTCACTTCCATCCCTTTAAAGCCTCAACCTTATGCTAAGTCCTACACTAACCTCTGCCAGGGCACTTCAAGACATGCCAGCCTTGAAAAATAATGAGAATGTCCAAAGTCCTAGGCATATGTGTTGTTTTTCTTTTTCTTTCTTTTCTTTTCTTTTTTTTTTTTTTTTTTTTTTTGGGACAGAGTCTGACTCTTGCCCAGGCCGGAGTGCAGTGGCATGATCTTGCTTGGCTCACTGCAACCTCTGCCTCTTGGGTTCAAGCAGTTCTCATGACTCAGCCTCCCGAGCAGCCGGGATTACAGGCGTGAACCACCACACCAGGTTAATTTTTTATTTTTAGTAGAGATGGGGTTTCACCATGTTGGCCAGGCTGGTCTCAAACTCCTGACCTCAGGTGATCCTCCCGTCTCACCCTCCCAAAGTGCTGGGATTACAGTCATGAGCCACCACGCCTGGTTTGTCTTTTCTTTTTGAGGCAGTCTCACTGTCACTCAGGCTAGAGTGTGGTGCCACAAGCAAAGCTTACTGCAGTCTCAACCTCCTAGGCTCAAGTGATCATCCCACCTCAGCCTACTGAGTAGCTGAGATTACAAGTGCACACCACCATGCCTGGCTAGTTTTTGCATTTTTAATAGAGACGGGGTTTCATCATGTTGCCCAGGCAAGTCTCAAACTCCTGAGCATGGGAGCTCAGCCTGCTTTGGCCGTCCAAAGCGCTGGAATTACAGGCGTGAGCCACTGTGCCACTGTGCCCAGCCAGCATATGTGTTAACTCCTTTAATCCTTATAGCAATTTCACAAGTTAAGAAATGTAGATCAGAGAGGCTAATAAACTTACCCAAGGTTAAACAACTAGTAACGGACATTTGGAGTGAGAAAAGGTAATAAAGATAAAAGAAATTGAAATGGAAAAGAGATAAACAAATACTAGGTTTGGAGCTGTGTGAGTTCCTAAATGTCTGCTTTGCTGAAGGTCAGAAGCAACTTTTTTGTCTTCCATGAAAAAAAAAAATTAGCTTCATTTAGTTTCCCCCCTTTTGGGGGAAAACGGAGGACACCATTAGAATGTCGTGAGATGCTAGCAATAGACAGTTGTCTGCTTTTCATATTCTTACTTGACAGAATAAAATGGTGACGGAAAAATTTTTCAGTTCCATTAACTTTTTTTTTTTTTATTGAGATGGACTTTCACTCTCATCACCCAGGGTGGAGTGCAGTGGCAACCTCCGCCTCCCAAATTTGAGCAATTCTCTTGTCTCAGCCTCCTGGGTAGCTTGGATTACAGGCGCATGCCCCACCACGCCCAGCTAATTTTTGTATTTTTAGTAGAGACAGGGTTTCACCATGTTGGCCAGGCTGGTCTCGAACTCCTGACCTCATGATACCCCCACCTCGGCCTCCCAGTCCTGTTGGGATTACAGGCGTGAGCCACTGCGCCCGGCCCCCATTAACATTTTTTATGTTCTCAGATGTAATATTGAGTCTACAAAGCACAAGTGTGAGGCTCGGCACTAGAGGACAGGCTCAGATCATGTTTCTTAAAGATAATAAAGTAAAACACATTCTCCTTTCCCTCTAAAGGTTTGTAAGTAGGTGGGACCTAAGTTAAGGCAGAGAAAAAAGGGTAAAATAATGATAATCTGAGGACAGAGAGGAGGGACACTTCAGGAAGCAGGATTGGGTTGTATGAGCAGAGGCAGGGAGGTGAACGGGAGCAGCAGGGTGCCTCAGGTGCCAGCAGAGTCCAGGAGGTGCTTTCCTCTGCAGGCCACTCACTGTCAGGAGCCCTAGATTGATCTCCTTTCCTCAACTGTCTGGACCTGGCCATCCAGTGTAATAGATACTAGCCACACGTGGCTGTTGAGCACCTAAAATGTAGCTAGTGTGACTGGGGAACTAAATTTTTTTGTTTCATTTAAATAAATTTGAATTTTATTTATTTATTTTTTGAGACAGAGTTTCACTCTTGTTGCCCAGGCTGCAGTGCAATAGTGCAATCTGGGCTCACCACAACCTCCGCCTCCCAGGTTCAAGTGATTCTTCTGCCTCAGCTTCCCAAGTAGCTGGGATTACAGGCATGTGCCACCACACCCAGCTAATTTTGTATTTTTAGTAGAGATGGGCTTTCTCCATGTTGGTCAGGCTGGTCTCAAACTCCTGACCTCAGGTGATCTGCCTGCCTCAGCCTCCCAAAGTGCTGGGATTACAGGCGTGAGCTACCGCGCCCAACCCTAATTAATTTGAATTTTAAAACAACAGTACAGAATACACCAAGCAGGCATAAATGCCAAAAAGTCTACACAGGTGTATCATATACAAGCCAGCAGAAATCAAAGACAGAAAATCTTGAAAGAAACCAGAGGAAAAAAAAGACCTTTCCTATAGAGGAGCAATAATAAGAATTACATCACACCTCTCTTCAGAAACCATGGAAGCCAGGAGAGAGGAGAGTGAAGTATTTAAAAAATATTGAAAGAACAAAAAACAGCCTAGAATTCTATATCCAGAGAAATTATCCTTAAAAAGTGAAAGGGAAGACTATCTCAGACAGAAATGGAGGGAATTTGTTGCCAGTAGACCTGCTTTCCAAGAAATGTTGAAGAAATTCTTCAGAGAGAAGGCAAATAGGCCAGGCGCAGTGGCTCACACCTGTAATCCTAGCACTTTGGGAGGCTGAGGCAGGTGGATTACCTGAGCTCAGGACTTTGAGACCAGCCTGGCCAACATGATGAAACCCTGTCTCTACTAAAAATGCAAAAAATTAGCGGGGCATGGTGGTAGCACACACCTGTAATCCCAGCTACTTGGGAGGCTGAGGCAAGAATCACTTGAACCTGGGAGTTAGAGGTTGCAGTGAACAGAGATGGTGCCACTGCACTCCAGCCTGGGCAACAGAGTGAGACTGTCCCCCAAAAAAAGATGGCAAATAATGTGGCTCGGAAATTCAGATCTGCATAAAGAAAGGAAGAGCATTAGAGAAGGAATAAGTGGAGGTAAAAATGTTTTTAACCTTAATTGATCTAACAGCAGTTGACCACAAATAATAATAACAACTTGTATATGGGCCAGGCATGGTGGCTCACACCTGTAATCCCAGCACTTTGGGAGGCCGAGGCAGGCAGATCACCTGAGGCCAGGAGTTCGAGACAAGCCTGGCCAGAGTGGTGAAACCCCATCTCTACTAAAAATGCAAAAACTTAGCCGGGCGTGTGGTGGGCGCCTGTAATCCCAGCTGCTCGGGAGGCTGAGGCAGGAGATGTGTGCCCAGGGGCCGAGCT